AATTACTACTAATTACCAAAGATAAATTCCTTTCTTCTCAATATATAAACGTACATAAGTAAAATAGATGTCAATAAACATGGATTTTATTAAATACATAAAATACTTCAATATTATCATCTTTATTGTTTAAAGGGGTACAGGTTTAATTTATAACTTTTATATGTCACAGATTGATTTGCGTTGAGTTATAGATGAAATTTATGAATCACAGGATATTAGATTAGTCGTTCAGTTCTACAATGGATTGGTCAAAACTAGAAATTTACTATTAAACTCTCATCTACTGGCTTTAATATTTATGTGCTTCTGGCGTGATCTGAACTCCAGAAGTTTCATCCTAGGTGAGATTCTAGTTGGAAAGTTCTAAAGATTCCGAAACTACTACCAAACAACTGTCTATTATTCATCAGTCTTTAAACATACTTCAACAGAGAAAAATATGTGACGTATAGGATCGAAAAACCCTAAATTAATTTGTTTGATTTAGTTACTTCTCTGATAGAACAACTATCCAGTCATATTTTACTTCTAATGCGTAATAGTCTAGCTCAGGTTAATAGTGATACAGCATATATTTGTCTATTTATTAACCTATGAATACTGTAGTCAATAAGTGTGACTGTTATCGATTTATCATATATCTCATTACTGTTTTGTTTATATACGTAAGTATTTTCAGTCTTGAGTGCTGTTAGAGGTATGAGGGCGGTTATCACTTCCCTATTGCCCATACCGTGGAAGGGTTCTTCTGGAGGTACCTGAAAAGGAAATTGGATTAAAGGTGGTCTTAGTGACCTGAGAGCGTGACCGAGTGCCCAAGGGACAACTGCTTGAGGTCGGTCATACACGACCATTTTATGGGTAATTTTTGTGTTAGCTCCGTACTTGTTGAGACCTTACCGCCGGAGACGGATATCCGTGGGATAAGGCGAGGTGGGCATTCTTAGGGTCGACCTTTTCTAACCCCACTCCTCCTTGTGGGAAGGCAGCATCGCTGTCATGCTGGTTGTCTGAAGGAAATACATTACTGCTGTCACACCTCTGTACAGTCAGCAGTACGACTTCGCCTTCGAACCTTGGGTTTGTTGCTTTTAGTCTTACCGCTCTTCAACCGACCTGTCTGACATGGTAGGACCTTGAGGGACGGTTGTTCCAGCCAGTATAGCTCGGTTGCTTCATCACGATAGGCAAGCCCGACCACCACGTCAAGGTAGCAACAACGGTCGGGATAAGTATTTTAAGTGACTATAGACATTTTTTTCTATTTCTGTACTTATCATAATGATTTTGTTTAAGAAACAGACGAATAAGTTAAAAACCAAATCGTACTTGTTTTCATAAATAACAATTTATAGACTCCGTAGATTCCATGGGTTTGAGATTGACAGCTTTGATTTACTTAGCAATCATACGTATTGTGCAAATGAATACATGAAATTAATTTTTCAGTTTAGGATTTTAGAGAATATTACGTTTTTGATTGAGATCATGAACCGATTGATATTAGACCACCATTGAAAACCTGGAAGCAATAAACAACCGTTTGAATTGGTTGAGATTAGATATTAACACTGTTGGATGCTGGCTGGCTCAGTGGTGTAGAGGTTAAACGTTCTTGTGCGAGATCGATAGGTCTTTCGTTTGAACCCCACGGACGGGATCATGGATGCGCACTGCTGAGGAGTCCCACAACAGGACGAAACGGCTGTCCGGTGATTCCAAATTCTTAGTGGTGATCTAACATCAATCGGTTCATGATCTCAATCAAAATTAATTTTTGCTTGCTTTAACATTATCCACATGTACTTATAATGACTGTTCTACTAATGAAAAACTGAATGTCCAAGAAAAGTTTTGAATTGATAAGAAACTTACAAAAAAATTGAATAATGATTACTACTGATTGTTTTGTAAAATTCCTTGTACTTTGAATGTACACTGGTCGTTATATTCATTGTTTAACAACAACAGTCACTCATAAAATAACATATAACCATAATATGCAGTTTGATATCGGTGTTTTGTTAAAAGTGATCATATTTCAATGGTAAGTGTATAAAAATTTACTTGAAATGTTAATTTTTCTAGGATACATGATCGATATCTTTCAGTATTTTACGTATCAGTCAGTTGAAAGTTATTCATAGTTCAACCTGGATTTGTGATATCACCTTAGTTAACGGGTTTGTAAGCTTGTGTAAATTATTACCCTCAAATAGATTGATGTCTATCATATTAATAATATGATCAAAGCTTTAACATTTGGTCACTAGATACAAATGAGTCTCTTTAGAGTATGTATGAAGTAAATAATTTTCAGTTCTATTGAAAGATCAATCCCAAGTTCCATAAATCATTGATGGCTGGGTCAATTGTGAAATAAGAACTCACTGATGACAATGATGGATGTATCGCTCACTTTCGTGGATTATTTGAAGTTAAACATTAACACTGTTAAATGCTGGCCGGCTCATTAGTCTAGAGGTTCGAATCCCATGAACAGGATCATGAATGCGAACTACTGAGGAGTCCCACAATAGCATGAAACGGTCGTCCAATGTTTTCAGGTTTTTCATGGTGGTCTAGCTTCAATTAACTCATAATCTCAACTGTTGTACGTGATAAAGACCATTTATCCATTTAAAACTACAGATACAATTTGTTAATGTAAATTCTTATACTTCACATATACATCCATATGATCACACTGAAATCAATACCGTTTAAATATTCGATTTTTAGCCTAATTATTAAAATCTTTTACCATGGATATTTGTCATGCTTCTAATAAATACAATATCAGACTGAAAAATTATTTATTTTTTTTCAAAAAGGGAATTCTATTTTATGCATGAATAACGTTTTTTTTCTTCTTATTTTCAAAAAGAAAAAAAAACTGACAAAATAACTCTTTCTATGCCCCCTCTCTCTCTCTGTCTCGCTCTATCTCCCTAACTCCCTCCCTCTCTCTCTCTTCCCCCCCCCTAAGTTTTTTGCAAGGATAAACTCCCTTAAAAAGAAAACTCTTTTTTTTAAAAAAGTATGAACCATAGCAATTGGAATTCATATCCTACTATCTATTTGAATGAATAATCAAAGTTTAACGTCTCTTGTTCAAATAATCAATGAAACTCTTTAAAGAGATTCTATGATATATTAACTAGAAAAGAAAAATACATGAGAAAAAAAATTTCTTTATTTTTTTCGGAGGGGACGAAATGGCCGTCCAATGCTTCCAGGTTTTCCATGGTGGTCTAGCTTCAACTGACTCATGATTTCAACCATTGAAAAAATATATTGTCTAAATATATAACTAAATAGAGTGGTATTATGATGATGGTCAGCTAGATGATTTTGGTTGCATTGTATTCTCAAAGTTAAGTGATTTTATTGCAGATCATCAATCATTGTCATTCTAGACAATAGATTCAGCATCTATATCATGTACAAGCCAAGTTTTCAGTTATTCCACAAGCGTTACATCGGTTAGTTAATCACAAACAAGGCCATCAACACACTTGTATAGTAACTGAAAAATCACTTCTCAATCAAGTAACTTCAGTAGGTAACGTACAGAATGACAACAAAAGCTCTATACTTAATATTTTTTACTATTGGCTTTATTCAATATTATATTTTTGGTACAATATAGAATTCACAGCAAAAAGTAATTAAACAAGTTTCCGTTTCTTATTTCTTAATCGATCCTTGCGGTAAATACTGAGTGGTAACCAGTTAGATGTTAGCAGTTCGGGTATCAACATATGATTAATGTACGTTCTTTTCGATGCATATAGCCAACAGTCACGACGTCTTTGATTGCGCCCTTTTGTAACTTGCATAGCGAAATGTCGTTAACTTTTCACAAACACACCTTAATAGGTTATGAGAATAATCGGCAAAATGTTGTGTTTAATCAAACAAGAAAACAGATAACTTGTTGAAATATCTAGATGGTTGGATCAGGTAGCCCAGATATTCAAACAGGCCATAACACGAATATAAATTACTTGAAGTTGTGTACTGATTGAGCAATAGATTGTGAGACATGATTATGATCAAGTTATTGTCATTCACAAAGTTGAGTAATTTATCCTATACTCCAGTGAATGGATATCAAAAAGACAAAATAGTTGACAGCCAAAATATAAACGATTTTTATTTAATCACATTCATTCCTGAATACTAATTAAAGTTTATACATCACATAGATGTATATTCTCTGACATTATTACTTATTATACCTTATACTAGTTGTTATGTCTCAATTTTCGTTAAATAAATTACAGGCGCTTCTTACTGATGACGACCATCTAACACAAAGCCTTGATCAACTAGGAAATCCTAACGATCACCTACAACCACTTGACAGTTTTAATACTTCCATGATGAACCAATGAATACATTGAACCCTTGTCGAAGTACTATGGAGAGTATATACAGACAGTATATCATTATTCAAATTGTAAAGAAACTTAAGAAGTACTATCCAAATGAATTGAATCCTTCTAACTTCCTCTATCACTTTGAACAATAATAAGTAACTATTAATAAATTCATAAATTAAATGTATTAACAATAGTAAGTAAGATTAGATAAGCAAGCCTTATTGTAAACGTTTATAGATGACAGATAACTGCTGTTTAGATACATGTATTATATTATTATTATTATTCATAGTTTAAATGTTTATCAAACAGGAAGTGTTATTACAATGTTGAATATCATTTGTGCTGTGAATTGTTGATAAGAATCAAACATATGTTATTGAATAAGATGAGTGTCATCTTATGAAATATTAGAGAAATTGCCTAAAGGTGCCAGTAGAATGTTTTTCTTCTTTTTCATCTTCAATGGCCATTTACCATTTAATGTATCTATGTATCTATTCATATATACTACTTATTAATACATATTATCAACAATAGAAAAGAAAAAAACAGAGATAAAATCAGTTGATGAACTTTTAACCTATATACCTAAAAAACAAAATTAATATGAAATCACATCCTTGTATGAACATAAAACGAAGCATAAATGATGATGATGATGATGATGATGATGATGATGATGATGATGATGATGATGATGATGATGATGATGATGATGATGATGATGATGATGATGATGATGATGATGATGATGATGATGATGATGATGATGATGATGATGATGATGATGATGATGATGATGATGATGATGATGATGATGATGATGATGATGATGATGATGATGATGATGATGATGATGATGATGATGATGATGATGATGATGATGATGATGATGATGATGATGATGATGATGATGATGATGATGATGATGATGATGATGATGATGATGATGATGATGATGATGATGATGATGATGATGATGATGATGATGATGATGATGATGATGATGATGATGATGATGATGATGATGATGATGATGATGATGATGATGATGATGATGATGATGATGATGATGATGATGATGATGATGATGATGATGATGATGATGATGATGATGATGATGATGATGATGATGATGATGATGATGATGATGATGATGATGATGATGATGATGATGATGATGATGATGATGATGATGATGATGATGATGATGATGATGATGATGATGATGATGATGATGATGATGATGATGATGATGATGATGATGATGATGATGATGATGATGATGATGATGATGATGATGATGATGATGATGATGATGATGATGATGATGATGATGATGATGATGATGATGATGATGATGATGATGATGATGATGATGATGATGATGATGATGATGATGATGATGATGATGATGATGATGATGATGATGATGATGATGATGATGATGATGATGATGATGATGATGATGATGATGATGATGATGATGATGATGATGATGATGATGATGATGATGATGATGATGATGATGATGATGATGATGATGATGATGATGATGATGATGATGATGATGATGATGATGATGATGATGATGATGATGATGATGATGATGATGATGATGATGATGATGATGATGATGATGATGATGATGATGATGATGATGATGATGATGATGATGATGATGATGATGATGATGATGATGATGATGATGATGATGATGATGATGATGATGATGATGATGATATAATTATATTTATTCACTTCCTTATTTTGTATAAGCGTTATATTTTCTATTATCTTACATTGAATGTTGACAGGCTTTGGTTGTCTAATTAAATAACCCCACGCTCCACTGTGACTGCGCGAACATCGAACTAAAGACCTATTCACTACTTGTCTGGTTTCTTCTATCAATAGCACGACGGTTACCTTAAAGCACGAAAACTACACAATAAAGAACATCAAATAACCTGATTATTTTGATAAAGGCTGATGATAAACAACAAAAACGTATGATCTTTCATACTTCTACAAACAACAAATCAAGTCAACACACAGACATCTGGATAACACACTCTCAGATTATGTGCACCTTTATTTTAACTAGTGTTACTTTTACAACAATAATGTTGATGCAAATGCGCATAGTAGATAAGAAGAAATGAAATAGATACCATAAATATATTAGATGTACACACGTAATCGGGTATTAAGTTAATCGACTACTAATTTTAAATTGTTGTGAATCACACATATGTAAGGCATTTCAATACAGAGCGGATTAATATCAGTTCATGTTCTCATTAGATAAGACAATATAGAGTAACAATGAGTTCATATACCAGCATGATTGGTTAACAATGAACATATGATCTCATTAAATTTGATCTTCTTAATGGTCAGTTTGAATCATCGAATCAGCATAAACACAATGAAGTACTTTAAAGTCTATAAATGCTCGACAAATTTCAGTAAAATTTGATTTATTACATTGAACGAGATGATGAGGTGAGTGTTGACCAAATATACGAAGTAAATCAATCAGTTACACGAAGACAAATAACATTGTTTCGATAATATGGATGATTTTACATACAAATTTCCGTATCATCTATTGATATGGTTTGATTTGGTCTTGAAATTGTTATCCGATTTCTGCGACTGCGAAGAAGTTTGTAAATACCCAGATTGGAAGAACTAAACACAAGTGATTTTGGAGAATGATTCATTTCGATATGTAAGTAATCTCTCAGATCGTAGTAAACATTACTCACAAAGAATAAGTCTCAATCAGCCTCATCCAGTTGTGAATGTCACATCTGTCGAATTCTCCTTTTATCACGTAAGTGGATCATGTTTTCTAATGTAGCTATTAATCCACATGTTTTCATCATTTTATTCTGTTAAACACAAATACCGTTTAAATATTATTTTTATGAAGATACCGATGAATTTAATGCTTGATTTGATGTTAAATCAGTAAGTTTCTTCGACCTAAAATTATCACCGACTTTTCTCGAACACGATTCATTCTATGAATCAGAGATGTTCAGCAAACCAGCTTTATACACTTAGTGACAATCATAACTTTTTTGTATGTTTTCACTAACAAAAATAGGGGTGAAATATTTGTATATAAGAACACGTACAAGCTTGGAATAAATCACAATTCGTTTAAGAAAAATATCGTCTCTTAATTTCGAGGTTTTGTAAACGAGTGAGCTCTTACATTATTCAGTTTGAAGTTTGTTTTATTTACTGTGCTGAAATTCAGTTTGTATAAAGATTATTTCACCGACACGAGACTTCTCTTAAGACTAAAATAATCAAATTGAGCACGTGTATAACAATAAGCGATGTTGTGAGTGAAATCCGTTTGAATTTGTAAAGCCTACAAACTATCAAATGATGATTAATATCCTCTGATACTACTCTAGCAATAACTTGATTTATAAACGTTCATTGTCTCTGAGTTGCAGTCTGATGACCATTGTATTTTCAACAACATGTTTCACTTGAAATTGAACACCTAGAACATCAAGTTCACATACATTCATTTCGGTCAGCTGTTCAAACTGATGAATTACTGAATGACAGGTAATCATTTTGTTAGACTACTGTAAGATAGATGACTCTCACTCAGTCAGATGCTCTTAAAATAAATTTTACAGAGATGAAATATTTTTCTGAGTTGACTGGATTGAAACGTTCATCCAGTCGTTGAAGTGACAATATTCTTTGAAATTTTGTCATAAGAGATGAGCATTTGATCATATCATTACATGTAACTCTGAGAATAGACATGATAACTTGTATGCAAAGGCAGTCTGTGTTTAAACGTACATTTATTGAAAGAGATACATATTCATTATACAGATATTTCATTACCTATTCTTGTTTTCATTATTTCAGAAGAATTAATCGCTGTCAGATGGTGCAAAGAAGCTATGAATGTCATTCACGTGATAAAACGAGAATTCGACAAATGTGCTATTCACAGCTGGATGAGGCTGATTCAGACGTATTCTTTGTGAGTAATGTTTACTACGATCTGAGAGATCACTTACATATCAAAATGAATCATTTTCAAAAATCACTTGTGTTTAGTTCTTCCAATCCGGGTGTTGACAGATTTCTTGACAGTCGTAGAATTCGCAAAACAATTTCAAGACCAAATAAAACTATATCAATAGATGATACGGAAATTTGTATGTAAAATCATCCATATTATCGAAACAATGTTATTTGTCTTCGTGTGACTGACTGATTTACTTCGTATATTTGGTCAACACTCACCTCATCATCTCGTTCAATGTAATAAATCAAATTTTACTGAAATTTGTCGAGCATTTATAGACTTTAAAGTACTTCATTGTGTTTATGCTGATTCGATGATTCAAACTGACCATTAAGAAGATCAAATTTAATGAGATCATATGTTCATTGTTAACCAATCATGCTGGTATATGAACTCATTGTTACTCTATATTGTCTTATCTAATGAGAACATGAACTGATATTAATCCGCTCTGTATTGAAATGCCTTACATATGTGTGATTCACAACAATTTAAAATTAGTAGTCGATTAACTTAATACCCGATTACGTGTGTACATCTAATATAATTATGGTATCTATTTCATTTCTTCTTATCTACTATGCGTATTTGCATCAAAATTATTGTTGTAAACGTAACACTAGTTAAAATAAAGGTGCACATAATCTGAGTGTGTGTTATCCAGATGTCTGTGTGTTGACTTGATTTGTTGTTTGTAGAAGTATCAAAGATCATACGTTTTCGTTGTTTATCATCAGCCTTTATCAAAATAATCAGGTTATTTGATGTTATTTTTTGTGTAGTTTTCGTGCTTTAAGGTAACCGTCGTGCTATTGATAGAAGAAAGGAGACAAGTAGTGAATAGGTCTTTATTTCGATGTTCGCGCAGACACAGTGGAGCGTGGTGTTATTTAATTAGACAACCAAAGCCTGTCAACATTCAATATAAGATGATAGGAAATATAAAGCTTATACAAAATAAGGAAGTGAATAAATATTTGAACTATATTGTTTTGGCATATGCTTGGTTGTTTGAGGTGAATTCTTAACCAACCAACCTAAGCTGTTACATTGGCTTCCTTCTAGAATCGACTTCCTTAGGAACGTCGGTTGGATTAACGTATCTATCTAAAACAGCTTAGTTCTGTTTTTCCAGCCCAAGCGAAAATTATCAACTCACTCAGTGTTTGACTTCTAATCAATGACGACTAACTCCGTTGGAAATCAACGATAGTCCATGGATGTCTCTTCATTTGCTAGCTTGTCATCTTATTCTGTTGCATGTGATTTATTCTACAACTATCTCTGATGGTTTGCTACGTGCTCTCAAGAGAAAGAGTGTGAGAATGTGGAACAAGAATATCTGAGGAAGTGCCGTGAGTGGGCTACCCAACACCATGTTGGTGAGTTACGATTTTTCCATACTCAGACTGGCTATCAGGTGTATACTCACCTGCTTCTTGAGTCGTCCTCAAGTAAAAAGTAAAGAAGAATCTACTTCAAAGGTAAAGGTGAAAATCAATCAGACCTGAAGAACTGCTCCACTGCCTGCATAAAATAATAGGATACAAAATGGAAATACATAAATAAAATTGATAATTGTTCGGTTCCACGTAAGTGATTGGCCTCCAGAACGGTTTGGTATTCTGGAAGGAAATAGACATAGTGTAGACATCTTGTGTACAAAACAGTATGAAAACAAACAAAAAATTTGTAATGCATATCTGTAAAAGTGCAAACTTGCTAGAAGTTGGACTCATTGTCAAGCCAGATCAAATGTATGACCTTGGGTCTATGACGACCGCCTTTCATAACCAGGTACGTCACCAAGGGTGAATAAGAGTACTCCACAAAACGGAAAAGAATATACGGTTAAGGAGAAAAAAATTGTGTTAAATATGAGGATGAAGTACAGTTGTATGAAATACTCTTTTCTGGTTTGGTTCAGGTATGCATGATATACTGAAGCAACATTTCGTCAATTCATCCAATTAACGAATTAGTCTGCACCTTAGAAGTGTGTGAGTCCTATTACTCATTAGTATTATGAATGATTATTCGGTGTAACGAAATATTGCAGTCACCCCACCAGTGGTGTGATGTGGTTAAGTGGCTAGCCAAGCGGCCTAGAATTGTTCGCCAAGACCACCTTCAATACAATGTTTGTTGCCCGTAAGTCGCTCAGATATGAGAGAAAAATGACAAGAGGACAGATTGATATGTCAAAGTGCCATATTGGAACAGTACAGGTTCTTTGTTTATATTAATAATAATACTGTGGAAAGAAAACTCGAAGTTTGGTAAATTTCCATTTTACGTTATACTTAAACCAACGAAATATATACATATATAAGTTATTGACATAACATGTCTCTTTTATAACGCTAGTGTTAAGTTCCAGGATTTTGTATGGACCACTAATAATAATTGGTTTAACGTTAACATAGCCATGATAGTCGTATCGTCAGTTCAATGTTATGATTACTTAACAGTTCCTTTATAAGTTTCACAGATTGAAATTATGAGTCAATTGAAGCTAGACCACCATTGAAAACCTGGAAGCACTGGACGGCCGTTTCTTTCTACTATGGGACTCCTCTTCAGTGTGCATCCACGATCCCGCACAACGCGGCGCTCGAACCCAGGACCTCTAGCTTCGCGCGCGAGCACTTAACCATTAGACCACTGAGCTGGCATCCACCGGCGTTAATGTCTAACTTCAACCAATCCTTTATAAGTTGTGTTTAAAATTAGGTATGTGGAATCAATGTGGCTAAAA